ACATTAACAATATTACAATGGTGGTGAATTATCATACTGTACCATTAAATAGCTTTTGGCTTTGAATTATTGCTCACTAAAAAAACATGAGACATGTTAAACAACTTTTTATTATTTTTTGGACGATATCAGTACTAGACTGCGAAATGTGTTACCTCATAATCGGATTTTGTGTTAACCAATGAGGAACTAGAAAGTCTCACTTATCTATATATTATTGCTCGTTAAAACGACATGAGATATGTTAAACAATTTTTTATTATTTTTTGNACGGGAACCAGTACTAAACTGCGAAATGTGTTACCTCACATTCGGATTTTGCGTTAACCTATGAGGAACTAGAAAGCCCCATTTATGCGGATACCCTCATTCTACCACATAACACTTGTCTTTGAAAAACAATGGAAATTTGGAATCACCATCTTACAAAAGTAAAAACACTCTTGTGTTGTGACATGAATAAATGTTGCATTCCAAACATATGTGAACATATATTCATATCACATTTGCCAATATGTTAAAATTGTTTAGTCACGTTGACTCCAAGACACAGTTTGTATTGCTTAACGCTTGAATACCTGTTATCCAATGCCTATTAAACTCATAAAGAATGTCGTCGATATATTTGAATATATTGTAGAATTTTTTTTTTTTTGAAAAAAGAATATTGTAGAATTCTACGTTATATTGTGTTGTAGTGTGTAGACACTACCATATATGTATATAATTTAAAATAAGTAGTTTAAGTAATTCTGATACTTCACAACAAAAGAATTATCTAGAGTGTTTTGATTAGATCCAAATCATGAATTAATACCATGTTGAATTTCATTGTCCATACACACTTAAGGAAACAAGCAACTTCTAAAATTAAACATCTAATTTTTATATTAGGCATTTATTATAAATTGTTTTAACGTTATTTTTATATGGGACAATTACAAAAATGCCACTTTTTGTATGCACATTTGCAAAAATGCCACTTAGGGATGCCTATTTGCAAAAATGCCACTAATTATAGATTTATAAAGCTTATATCTTAAAATTCTAAACCCTAAAAAATGTTTTGACCCCTAAAACCCCCTAAACCCTCATAACTAAACCCTAATAGAACATAATTAACCCAAACATAAATGATATAAAGAAAAAATAATTTTGAAAAAATGGTATTTTTGTAAAGATTTCAAAAATGTGGTATTTTTGTAAATTGGCACTTGAAAAATGACATTTTTTAAAATTTCTCTTTTTATATTTGGTTCAACAAATAGATCATAGTACAATAGTTTCACGATTATATATAGTAGCTAAACAATTGGCGTATATATATGATCACTGTTTGACATATAAAACATGTTTTAATGGTGCAAGAATTAAGTATATAATATTCTTTAAGAAAGTATTACCATTTAATCATAAAAGCAATATAATATGACCAAAATAATAATATTTTAATGACTTGCTGAAGAAATTTATATAAAATAAGCGAAGTGTATAGTTGTATTAAACATTTCTGTAGAACATCATTAATTTCATTAATATGGAATAATTTGTTGACTTTTAAAAAAGAAGACGAATTTGCATAATGTAGCCCTATATTTTCCATCAAATACAAGAAAATCATGTATCAAAACAGTATCACAACAAACCCCAACTAATCATAAATTATTTTGATCTAATAAAATTGAATCCGAGTTTTATTTTGATCCGATTGATTTTTTAGATTTTGGATTAAATATTTATATATAAAGTAAAGAATGAACTCAAAAACGTTGGAAAAATTAGATTTATAT